ACCCCAAAACCTGCCCTCCCCAGGGTGTACCCCTCCAATCTACAGGTATTTCCCAACCCAGAGTTGGCAACCATGTAATCAGCTATGGAACTACTTTCCAGACCCTTGGAACCCAGAAAACATGGCACAGGAGGAGGTGCTCTTCTACCTTAGCCGCCACTGTGTAACACCCCCCTCTCCCTCAAAAAATAAGTCAGAGGTGGAGAGAACCATATCTGTTACCATGAGGCTGTCCTCCCATTCTACCCACTTGGGGCAGCAAAATGACTTGAGACAGCCCTGCCTTATAGCTAAGCAGAAGGAAAGAAACATGGCTTGCCTCCCTCCATTTTCCGCTTCCCTCTGCCGCCCCACCAGCCACAGTCGGGACACTCATCTGGAGCTTCCTTCTAGATCTCGTTATATTTCTTCCCACAACAGGCATTACTCGTAGTCATATATATTTTTATTTGTGTTGGCAAGCTGTTTTCAAAATGAACTGCCAAAATGTCTGAAATGGTTGAAAGCACTAAGAATGGACGAGCTGGCAAATACTGTTAGGCCATTAGTCCTCCAAATCCAGTCTTACCTAGTCTCTACCCCTCAAGTCTTCAGTCCTCAAGCAGAGGAGATCTTTTAGACGATCTGTGATCTACCACTGAGCCAGCTCTTAAAATTACAAGCAATGAGGCTATATCTAATTAGCTTTTCATTGTTGTGGTACCTGTGCAGTCACACATGGCATCCTGTCCACGTGCAGGCCTACCACAGAGAGGTTTTTTGAAGCTCAAAATGCTTCGCTCCGTCCCCCTCCCCCACACTGCTTTCCTGCCTTCTTTGCAGTGTGATAAAAAGGAGGAGAAGTGTACACAAATTGTACTGTGTATAAAAGAAGGAAAAGGAAGGGTAAGTCCTTAGAAAGTGTCATTGATTGCTGAATGCAGTTGACACAGCATGGTTTGCTGTTGGTCTGCGCTTTCTTCTTCATATGGAGGAAGCTAAGAGGGACAGTACTACTGAGCAGACTGGGGGTTTTCTGCAACACATTCAGATACTATGTTAAATTGGAACATAATCTAACTGTGATTTATAAAACAGTTGTTTGTTGTGCCATCTGAATGCAGCTGATATTACTCCCATATCCTGGAAGAAAGATAGGACAAATAACTGAATGCGGGCAAGCCACAGCTTTACTGGTTGAGTAAGTGGGGAGTCTTTAAGTGGCATAGATGGCTTAAGTGGCAATATGCAGTTTAACAATGTATTTGGATATGTAACACATTTATTTGTAAGTAAATCTCTTTAGTTTTTAATGAAGTATAGGTTGAACTTATATGACCCGTATTTCTTTCCCATAAAAGCATGCACACATGCCAAGGTGATAAAATACTGTCACAGGAAACTCAACAATGATTTTCTTTGTTGAATTTCCATGCCTTTACCAAATTCTTTCAGGGGGAGGGTCAGCACATTATGAATAACCACAATATAAATAACCACCAAAAAATGAAAGACAATGTCACCTTGTGATGACATTTCCATGTAACATTGGCCTTATAAAGTCTCTTTAAACAAAAACACGTACTGTGGAATCGCTATGTTCATTTTCAACTTAAAATTTATATGGCATGCCATTTTAAAAAGAAACATGACTCAAGGTATGATTTTTTTTCAAAATAGTTTTCAGTTGATGAAAGTCGCTTCTGACATTATAGAAATTATTATTTATTGGAAGCAAGTACATTGTTCTTGCAGAAGAGAGAAGAGTCTCTGTACATATGATAGCGTAGGCCTGGGGGTTCTCTGAGGAGGGGGAAAGTATTAGCAGAGTTGTGAGAATGTTTCCTTAATTAGAATTTATTATTTCAGGATTATGTGTAAATGGAAGGGTGGGAGAAACAGCATCTGGCGGGGGGGGGAGTAGAATTAAAGCCCAACAAAGGCTAAATTAGAGATGAAGTTTGTAAACCTCAATTCAGACTACAGCATGTCAGGGAAAGCTTTGGATTTTTATGGTGTAGGACATATGGCACCATATATTACAGGAAATCAGGAGTGAGAGAGCAGTACATTCTGTTGCCAGTCCTGAAGTGTTTTGGATAAAATAAATTCTTGTGTCTTTTCAGAGAAAATAGAAATGTTAAAATCCATGCGGAAAGGAAAGTCTTGATTAAACCTACCCCAATAAACAGATGCTAAGTATAATTCCTTTCAGTTTAACACTAATGAGAGATTTTGTTCATGGTCTTTTCTTTTTAAGATAGCCGGTTTTGTTGTTGTTGTCAAAGGCCGTTTACACATCATAAAGTCCTTCTGAGAGCATAGCTTTAATTAATATCTGCAGTTTGTGAGAGGTCTGGAGTGTTTATGCATCTGAGATATCTGTGTGCTACGAAGGGTGATCATATCATTCTGGAGAACCCTTTGCTCAATGTATTCAGTGAGCTGGTAACGTTTGAGTGACTTGGGTTAAAAAGATTCAAATGAGATCCTTGCCCCATCATGAAAGAACTGGCAAAAATCACAGGCAGATAAATCAGAGGCATGCTGCAATACGTATCCATTATTTAAGGAAGAGTAAGATTTTAATTGGTCCCAGGCATCTCCAGAGATGAAAGGCTGTTGTGGAATCACTGGATGCCCAGAGTTTCAAGTTAATGTGTAGCAGATGACTAAGGAGGAGACAAAAGGAATTGATTTTCAACATCTGAAAGTTTTCTCAGGAAGAGAGTTGCAGAGAAGTGTGTGTAATTTTTTTAGTGCTTAACTGTTCCACTGCAGAATTAAATACGTTTTTTTAAAAGAAACAGCATGTAACTCAGCTACACCAGACCATTTTCTTGTCATTGTCTCTGTAGATGCTGGTTGTTATGGTCATTGTCCTCACCATGTGGCCATATACGTTTTTTGCTATGAAAGTTGACATCAGAAAATGAAATACCCAACAGGAAGAAGCAAGTTTAGATTAGGTTGGTACATGTAGAGCATATTACCTCAATATGTGGAAACTAAGACTTCCTTGGACTCTTACAGCCAGAGAAATGCTCCCTGCATTTTGGGTGCTGTTGCTCCTAGAACATGCACACATCTGGAGGAGAGAAGGGTTTCCTTCAGCTTTAGCTGTGTGAGAGCTTTGCTTCTGTGATGTCATCCCACATAGTTGAAGCAGCTTGCACATGGTGGGGGGCCCATTGGATGAGTCTTTCACAGAGGGTGACCACTGCATTCTGTTGTACTCACATGGCTGCACCACTGACATACAGCTTACAGCTTGCATGGGATTGCATCACAAAAAATGAACTCCCTTATGGGCTCTGATGGAGACCTGATTCTCACTGAGATGGTAAGCCAGTGTCTGGGCTAAAAGTGTAGGTGGGAAATTTCATGAGAGAATATACTTTCATGCCAAAAAAGACACCTTACATTGAAAACTAGACATCGAGGAGAAGAGTATTCTATTTATTTAGGTATTTATATCGTGCTTATTTCCCTGTGAGTACCTAAAGTGGCTTACAGCAAAGTTCTTCCTCCCTCCATTCTGTCTTCACAATAATGTTATGAGTTAGGTTAGGCTGAGAGAGCACGACTAGCCCACAATCAACCAGCAAAGTTCCGGGGGGGGGGGCAGACTTGAACCGACATCTCCCACATCCTAGTCCCACACTGGCCCTGGCCTAGTTTTCTCCCTACCATGTACAGAGAATCCCCCACCCATTTTTATGGAGAAGCAGTCAAATTCAAATAGAGAAACGCAAGGCAGGGCTGAAGCCTGTCTGTATTAAGAGGATTTTCAAACTGGATCAAAGTTGGAATTATCAATCCAAATATATTTTGTTTGGACTTTGTTTCCATTATTGCAATTTGAGAAAGTTATATGATACCCCCAAATCCATGATTTCAGTCTTACCTTGGTTCTAAGTCTTGCAGTGCTCAGCTCTTGAATGGGCCCCCACCCTGTGCTCACAGGAGAGAATTTTAAAACCCAAAACCATTTATATGGAATTCAGAATGATCTGGTTTTATTTTTAT